TCGTGAACAATTTGGTTTTATGTTGAAACGGGTGTGAATTAAACTTTTAAATCTTTTGAACGTAAATGTAACATTGGTTTCGGGGCAAAAAGTGCGCTGAAGTTTTGAACTGCATCGAAGGGAACTTCACGGTGAGTGAGTGGATGGACGGAAGTTACGCTATTAACAATACTAATAAACCAGTTTCCCAGATTCACCATTATAATAATATTCTGCCTTTTGGTGTGTCAACGCCATACCAACCCGTTATGATCCAGGTTAGAATTGGTCTTCAGCAACGTATGCTTGTCGTAAGATCGGGTGGTCTGGCTCATTGACTTGGTTGATGAATGTCATCGTATCCGAAGTGCTTATGTCGATGCTCATGCTGTCAATCACTGGATTGTCTACTCCGGAATAAATTATTTCCAGACAGCCGTCATACAGCTGGAATATTGATGAGTGCGGCGTCAAACAACAAATAATCAATCGATCAATCGAACAATCAATCAATTAAGACCTTCCCTGTCTCATGGGATCAATCAGTCCAACATTAAACGGACACGCTGTGATACAGCTGAAGAATGTTTCAAAACGGCATTAAACAACACTCACTCTCTCTCTCACTCACTCACTGCAACATCGCTACCACAGGTGTGGGCGGGGACATTACAAGAATTTTGAAATTTGGCCCTTGGGCACGCCAGAAACCTTTGATTGCGGGTTCGAATCCAGGTTCGCCCCGATTATGTTTCTAGGTTTGTCAGCACCATACCCGTGCTCGTGGGTTTCGCCGAAGTGGTAAACGTCTGTGACCTGCATTACTTCGGTCTTTCCTCCCACATTAAGCTGACACGCGGCGATATAACTAATTGTTAAAAGCGGCGTTAAACCCAACTCACAAATACAAGAATCTTGAAATTTGGCCTTCTAATCCCAAGTGTAGTGACATTTATAGGTTTGTGTATTTGAATGTTGAAACGGTTTACGACTGACGTACTATTTCCCTGATGAATTTACAAGTTGTTTGTTTAATCAGATTGGTACGAAATTGCAGACTAACGAAAACATGACAGTTGAAGTGAAACTGTTGAAAGCGGGGTTAAACCAAACTCAGTGACTCACTATTTGGTCCCCAATCGTGATACTGATATAATTTTGGGGTGTCAAACAAAATTCACTCCCTTACTCTATTATTAAATACAATGACAATGGTGGGAACAGGTGGCGTGTGCCCAGGGAATGTCTTTCGTGCAAGAGTTGATTCTCAAATCAAATTAAAATCACTTCTTTTACTCCGATGCGATACCCCTTTGCTTCAGGTTACACACAACCACATGTATTTCCTATAGACTTTTGTATTAATGTTATATTTATTTAGAATAACTAAGCATTTAACAGCTATCACCTGCATATGTGTGCACAGTTTTGAATCAGATCAGCAATAAAATTGTTTACTAACATAGCTAACTCCTTTTCCGGGTACACGAAGCTAAACACACTAACCCCAGTTCCGCACCAAATGCACTTGAAAATATCTGTGGTCACATTCAGCATTCATCATGTTGAAAATGACAGCACGAAATATACACTGTGACACAAAAATGGTCAGTTTTAATTACTCGATGGATGTACATTTCAAAAACATAAAAAGATCTTACACAAAATCATCCAATCACAGCTGACAGATTATTCAATCTGCACTGAAGGCTGATTCTGATTTGTTGTCGCAGACCCTGTAAGATACCAGGACACCTCCGTTGGTGAACCCTGATCGATATTTGACCACCTAGTAAAAAGAAGGCGGGTTCTTCAGCCAATCAGCTGTCAGCTTTCTAAAACTATTCGTCTTAATAGATTTACCGCCTTGATTCGGAAATTTCGAATTATAGAAACGAAAACCCACAGAACAAAAATATTCCTTCGATGGCACTGCCTTCTAGTGTAGTTGCCATGACGTCCAGAAACGTCAAGATATATCCACAACGTTATAATGGCGGTGCCATAAATTCTATTTTCGGAAGTTAATCAGTTCGTTTTCAAGGTACAGAATCACTCGTGCCGAAAATTTAGAAGCCTCGACGCTGATTGGTTGATTTGAAAGGTCACCTGACGCGACCGGCTCTGGAGGTGTCCTCAGACCAGAGAGGTATCGTATCTGTGTAAAAGATCTGATTTTAATGGGATTGGTGTGTCCCTTGTCTTCCATAAGTGAGTGAGTGAGTGAGTGTGGTTTTACGCCGCTTTCAGAAATATTCCAGCAATATCACGGCGGGGGACACCAGAGATGGGCTTCACACATTGTACCCATGTCGGGAATCGCACCCGGGTCTTCGGCGTGACGAGCGAACGCTTTAACCACTAGACTACCCGACCGCCCCCTTGTCTTCTATAAGACCAAGGGTCATTCAAGAGCATGACACCATCGTTACCATCCGGTGTCATCTCATAGAAAGTTCCGGGAACGAAGTAAATCTGTAAGGAGCTTGTAGAAGCCGTTGGTAGATGGATTATGATCATAGATTATCCGCAATGGACTCTGCCCGTCAACTAAGAACACAATTGCAGTCTACCTCACATTTAAACTAATCGTGGAGATTATTGAAATAATGTACAAATCAGTGACTCGGAATATGAGTCGACTCCGAGCAATACATGCCAGAGAATCACGTCAGTTGACAAACCTATTAAAAGATCACAAAGAAGAAATCACCCTATCACATTTACAATTCCCGTTCTAATCAATTTTGCGCAAATATTTTATGTTTGCCCCATGAAGAGCTCTTAACGTCCTGCTAAACATCAGCATCTTCTATTATCATCCACAAGTAACCGGAAGTAGAGTAGTGCCGGGGACAGACGATGTCTCTGACCTTTGGGGTTTCGGACGGTCGCCATCCGGTCATCCGCAGTCTGGATTTAAATGCCACGACCCATTATACCAGGCCTCTTTTAACAGGTTTACATGTCTCAACATAGGAACTCGCCAATTGTCTGTTTGTCTGTTTTATAGCTTCGTTGATAATGCATTAGCCTAATAAAACAGCAATGGTTACATTATATTTGTGACTAGTTCTGTGATTTATTTGTCTGTGAACCTTTCGTAAAAGCATTTTCTTGATTTATGTCCAACGTGTAAAAAAATAAGTGAGTAATGGAGACATTTTTGAAGTTACACTTTCTATTATAACGTCAGTATATCTTGGCTATGGTATAAATGTCCTGTATTGTACTGTATTGTATGTGTTTTATTGTAATATTGAACGTAGTGTCGTTATAGCCTATAGTAGGTGAGGTGAAATGAGGTTTAATGTCGCGTTCAAGATTATTTCACGTATATAGTACATGCACGTGGGTGTATGGCGGCTTGTACTTGTCCGGATTGATGTCGGTTTTATAGCGTTAGCACACTGAGATCATGCCGCAGTTTAACGTGGATAGCCCATTTAGACACATTATACTGACTCGTAGCTGACCAGTACTTGTTTTAGTCCTTTTAACGTCTTCTGGTACGACGGGACAAGAGGATCGAGCCCCGACCTTCCGCTCGCCGGGCAGACGTTCTATCCACTAGACCAGAGAGACAGTCGCCTGTATAGTAAGTAGACGGGACAGGAAGGGCTTATTATTCTTTCTGTAGGGTCACGTGCCTTCAACGTGCCAGGGTGCGATGTTCGTTGATACGAATTCACGATTCATCCCGAATACAACCCTAAATCGGAATAATGCTGTGGTGAGTCTGGTGACACAACAATGTCTTGCGTCAATGTCGTTTATTCGGTTAAATTCAATTACAGAAATGTACGTTCACACAGCGACACTCGCAGCCGCAACGTCCCGTTTCCTAGTAACCTACATACGTCACATATACAATCGCACAGAACATTACTTGCCAGACATCGAACGCGTTCACTTTGTGGGAGGCGCCATCTTGAATGAAGTCTCGCTCTCGCGAGATCTCGTTTAACTTGTGTTTACAAACATTCACATACAAATCGTGCTCGTGGGTTACATCAAAGTTGTAAACGTCTACGATCTGCATGATTTCAGCTTTCCTCCATCAATCTGATTCATGGCACACCGAGATATAATGCTACTACTGTTCAAGCGTCTCTAACAGACTTGCAAACTCCCCACTGACCTCGTTTTGATTCTTGAGATAGCCTGTTACAAACAATCTTCTACCGCCGTCTCTTTAGTGATTTCAAGTTCCCGATCGCGATGTTTTGATTCCCGCAGTCGCAAGAAAGAACACAGATGGTACAGACAAATATCAAGCACCACTATTCTTAAAGTGAGTGTGTAAGTATTGTTTCACGTCGCCTTTAGCAAAATACCATCTTTATCACAGCGAAGGGCTTCGCACATAGACCCCCATGTGGGGAATCAAACCCCGGCATGACGAACGAACGCTTTAACCACTCGCCTACCCTACCGTCCCTCGTGAAGCATTGTAATGCCACTTGTAACACTATGTGACATGTGTCAGTCCCTCCCCACAGGGAACATCAGTGGCAATATTCATCTCTACGGAAAACGTTCTAGGGCAGTTCATGTCCCAGACCTCGCCTTTTCAAAAGTAATCTGAGTACGAAGGCATTGTCTATGCGTTACAAGGCTCTGAGCTGAATTAGATGTGCCGTGGATATATCTTCAGAAGCGGGTCCAGAGTTTTTATAAAGGAGTCTGTGTGGGACCATATTTTAAGGTGATCAGTTTGAGGTCCATTTGTGATTTTCCAATGGGGGTTCAAACGCCATGTCCGGATACTGTCCGGATTAAACGGGTTTTCATTTATAGAATGTTACTGTCTGGATTATCGAGGTTTTATGGTATATCAAGTTAATGTCCAGATTAACAGGGTTTTGCTCTTGAGAATGTTACTGTCCGGATTATCGGGGTTCCACTGTATATAAGTTGATTAACTTTTTTAGGTTCCGACATCAATACGGATATCCCACTCGATATGTTTGTGTCTGCAACTTAGTGACGATAAAAATGATATGACTCAAACAGTGATAAAGTGACATTTAATTTCCATTCAATTTGCAATACAATCACGTATTCCTGACATAATGTATTCACCACAAGACAAAACTTTACGTATTAATGGCCCCAGCGAACCCTTTAACAATGAATAGCCTGGGAATGTTCATTTGGAAAGCACTAAGTTAGCTGTCGCCGCATCGCCGACGCTCACGTAAGCTTTATGCATCATGGGCCATAAGACTGCAACACTTCGAAGTTAAATTTTCGTATTGCATAGAGCTTCTCGCCAGGGCATTTCATTAACGACCAAACAGAAATATCTTCATTTGAAAATCGTACCATGACCGATTACAATACATTATTAATTCATAATCGACATCATAAGTCGGTACTATACATGTTAATGCGACAACATGGCGCGTGGAATCTTTAACGTCGCGTCAGAAAAAAAACTGTGCATTCAACTAACTGCATCATTTCACCGGTGCATGCTTCACATAAATCTCAAACAAGCCAAACATGGTCACCAGATGAAATAACAGAAGCAGTAAAATGGCAATTAAATATGTCTGGTTTTGCAGCGATTTGCTGCCCGGAGACATTAAATCACACTCATGTTTCGTTTCAAGATCTGGATTTTGATTTACGTCCTTTCCACGTGTCCATCGTTCTGAGCATGCGCGCCAACACACGCCGTGCCTCGCTGACACTTTACGCACGTGCCAAACAACACGTTTTCCACGTGCAGGTGCGTGTGCGTTACACGTTTCAAGGCGTTTTCGTTCGTTCTTTGCTAAAAGAGCACAGCTATTGGCTTTCCGACAACATGGCCATTGTCAGATGCACGCGCACGGTGCCCGTGTAATTGACGCTTGTGCCTGTTTATTGATTTGCACCGATCAAGGTTGTGCGGAACTTGATATCAGTAAATCAGATCGATCGTTTCATACTCTTCGTCCTCATTGTATTTGGGCTTGTCGAACGTATCGATGTCGGGAAGTCTGAAACAGATATTGAAAGCATTTACAACAAATTACTTTCTGAGTGAAGGGTCATAGCGTGGATGTGTTTCCTCCGTTTTGTTTTAATGCAGCGCTATCTCTGACACAAACAGGGGAATTCATATGTTGTTGTTAATTTGTTTGTTCGTTGCTTAATGCTCCATTCAGACATGTTCCAGCTATATAATGGAAGCCGGTAAATAATGGAATCGCGGATAGACAAGCCAGTGGTAGATATCATGAGCAACGACCCAAGCTGTCAGGATGCTTTCAAACAGTCAGTTTTCCCTTTATGTCGAGCAATATTCCAGCAGCTCTAGGTACAATCGACCATAGTCTTTTTTCAAGAAGATTTCAAAAAGCGTCATGCGACTTTTCCTCTAAAGTTCTTTGATCAGGGTCACAGTGAGTGAGTGAGTATGGTTTTACGCCGCTTTTACCAATATCACCGAAATATCATGCCGGGAGATACCAGAAATGGGCTTCACCCATTGTAACATGTCGGGAATCGAACCCGTGACGAGTGAACGCTTTAACCACTGGGCTACCTGACCGCCCGATCAGGGTTACAAGATTCAATTCCTTAATACGACTTTAAAAAGGATTTATGGTAAACATGAGGAGGACATTTCCAAGTCTGACGCATCAGTGACCACAATGGTTCAATTCCTTATAATAACCTGTTCCTATATGTTCCCGTGTTTTTTTAAGTGAACACAATTTTTAACGAAATCCGATTGGTGATGCTTGGACATTTTATCAACTTTGGTCCCCCTTCCAGAGGGGGCGGCGAGGTGGTTGCTGATTTGGTTTGGGACCGTGTTGTCGTACTCGAGACAGTTTGCGGATTATGAGGAGTTGCCTCCCTTGGCGACTATTAAACGCATAAAGGTCGCTTTGGTTACGACAGTCTTACTTATAAGTTCTGCCTTCGTGTTTGGGACGGGTGGAACAGGGTACACTCGACTTTTTCGCGAACACCTGGATCACCACTATTTGATAGTGATGCTTATGATGTAATAGGAGTCGTACAACGGACGCTACTTTTAGCAGAGATTTCTAATGCTTATGGCAATAGATTTGTCGCTTGTATTCCCGATGATCAAGTCACCGAGTCAGACCACCCGATCCCTTTAGCCTCTAACGACTAGATCAGGGTTGCATTCGAACCCTGAATCCCCATGGGTACATCTGATGTAGAGAACCGACACCCTACCCCCACACAACAACTGGCTGACATTGACTCTTTAATGAAAAAACGGACCAAGGAACTTTAAACCGAGTGGGTATTAACGCCGCTTTTAAACTGCTGCAAATGTCGTAGCATTAAGACATAACTAGACATAACCTTTTCGCGAACACCGGGTGTGATCAGTATTATATAAAGACTCATAAACCAGCTTACGGAATAGTCCGAATCACCGCACAATGGCCTTTGCTTTGAGCAGAGAATATTGCGCCAAACATTTACTCGCCCTTAAAATACTTGACAATGGTAAAAATAAGATAAGGACATAAGATCCTTTTTAAACGTTCATGTGGACCGGCTGTAAAGTGAGAGATTAAGCACTTCATCAGTACAAACTACACCATTAAGCACTGATGGCTCGCATCAAAAGTCTCGTGTTATTAGCCTAACGGTTGGGATCGGGATGTCCTTAGAAGTGACTGTCGTTATCTGTCCAGCCTTCTACTAAACATATTACAACAAACCAGAGATAGTGCCAGTTCACACCTTCATGTAAGACACTGTCAGGTTGGACGCAGATAAATCAATCTGATCTCCCTGGCTGAAGAGCTCTCAAAAGGGCGATCATCGCGACAGCTTATTAACCGGCAATTGAGCGTCTTTGAAACGGCGACATCATAGGCGTCAGTTACACCATCTAAAGCTTCTCTCAGACGTACACGCCACTGTAATGTTTCCTGACCGGGGTAGAGTCGCAATGGACCCTTAACGCTCAACACACTTTGAACTTATTTCCTTTGATTAACTCTACAGAACAACACAGTAAATCCGAGTGTAAGTCTATAAGCCGTTCTGGCGCATTAAGAAGTGGACGCCATTAACGGACACGCGGTTCTCTTGGCTGCTTCCAATGAAGTGGATATCAGCTCATACGTGACAATGTCTTGCAACATTCGGAAAAGGACTCCACTTTGAGATCGTCAAGAGTCGCTAAATACACTGTCTATTCCGAATACAGGATATTTACCATCACAAAACAAACTCGCGTGATAACCTTATATCAGAAAGATGAATTCCTATGTATTGTCTTATAAGGTCTTCATAATGACCTGGGTTCCAACCCCTCCATAATGACAAAAGGTGTCTACTAAAAGGTTATGTAAAAGTGACCCCAGAACCCTGTTGCTGGTCGTAAGGGGCGACCGAGTTGGGTTACCCGTGATTATCCGGTTAGAATTGATCTTCAGCAACCCATGCTTGTGAAATTCGACCCCCATGTTCCCTGAGACGTCAAGTAAATGCCACATGTTGTGAAATTGATATGACGTAGATGATATCGCCTAGTATACCATCTTCCCGAATCAAGCGAATCCACTGGCCTGTTAAACTAACATCTAGTCTCTGAAATGAACATATCGTACTGAAAAAAACAGTTGTTCAGTTATCTAAATAAAAATATAATAATAAAAGGGAGCCCAGTGACTCTCTTCATTTTCAGATACTGCAGTAATCTAGACTTGCCAAACATTATAGACTTGCATGGGCTGTATTTGATATATATTTGTATCAGGGTCTGTAAGACAGACTACTGGTCTGTATCAAAGCCTAGTTTCTACCCTTGCCACGTCAAGGCCACTTTTCTTGGCTCGGTCCTGGCGCCACCTCATGTAGATCACGAGTTGTGCCCCTTGTAATGAAAACGCGATATCCAATCAGATCGCTGTTCTCATCTCGTAGCTGACTACCAAAGGCGACGACCTCGTCGATCAGACAACAAAAACATTCGCGATTTCACCCTGTCACAAAAACATAGACAATCGTTGTGGGGTTTAAACATGAAAAAGACATACTCGTGTCAACAAAGACAGGCAGCGGTAAATCACTTTCATACGAAGGTGTACTAGTCGTGGATGTTGATTTTGTGAAGCGTTCTCTGATTGGACTATCGATATGTGCGATAGTCCAATCATATTTAGCACAGGAAAGTGGGCTTGGTGTAGCAAGGGTGGAAACAAGACTTTGATAGAAAAGTGAGTGGACGCTCCTGCCTCGGGAAAGATGCTATTACCAAATACATCGACATTGAAAAACCATTCAAACATGGGTGTATACTCTCTTTTCCCGGCAGTTTAGTAAGTCCAGACACGTGAAGATCCGGGGTAGAAGAGGTCTTCAGCAACCCATAACTTGCCGTAAAAGGCGACTATGCTTGTCGTAAGAGGCGACTAACGGGATCGGGTGGTCAGGCTCGCTGACTTGGTTGATGCATGTCATCGTATCCCAATTGCGTCCTAATGGTGTCAATCACTGGATTGTCTGGTCCAGGCTCGATTACTTACAGACCGCCGTCATATAGCTGGAATATTGCTGAGTGCGGTGTTAAACAACAAACAAACAAACAAAGCAAGTCTATCTCAGAGGCCAGTGTTAACACAGCACTGTGTCAATTCATCGCACATTGAAAAGACGAATTCCCTATATCTTTCTAATTGTTCAACATGTCAGCGTCAAACTACAGACATATTTTTTCATCATTTCGTAACACATAAATCATTATTGAAAATTTCAGGAATGGAAAGGACGTCTTCGAGGTATAGGTCAGATGAACGATGCCGTTCTTGGAACTTTACACATAATTGTCGGAAACCTTCCGGATATTTGTCGGGCTGTTATCCGGCTATATGTTTTCCAGGCATGTAAAACCGATTTATTTCTCACGCTGTTCCGTTTCAGAGGAAACATATCGAGTTCAAACTTTCGAAGGATTTAACTGCATGTATTGAAATATATTGAGTTCCACTGTCCTGAATGGATTTAACACTTGTTAAGGTTAATCACGGCTAGTCGTTAATGTCACTTAAATGATGTAAATTGGTACCCGGTAGAAAGTGGATGTAATTCTATTGTCTCGCGCTGTGCATATCCCATTGAAAATATACAAGTAGTACACTGTACCTTAAGGCAGAGCCAAAATGTGACATTAACACTTCCAGATGTCAATGAGTGTGTTTACCAAAACAAAGGCATGTTTTTTAAGTTGGCATGTGAGTGGGTATGGTTTTACGCCGCTTTAGCTATCATTCATTAATATCACAGCGGGGGTAACCAGAAATGGGCTTCACACATTGAACCCATATGGAGAATCGAACCCGAGCCTTCAACGTGACTAGCGAACACTTTAACCACTAGGCCACCCAATCACCCCTAGTTGTAGTTTTACTCCACAGTCTGCAATGAGACAGCTCTACCACGGCAACCTGTAAACAAACGAGACTGGAGCAGATAAACCAGTGGTTGATATTATGAGCAACGTCCGCGCCGTCAGAGTACGATGCCAGGCAATCGAGCCTGACCACTTGATTCATTTAGCCTCCTCTTACCGCAAACACTGATAGCATGGGACCAATTCTGACCGAAATTACCACGTGGTGTCTGCGAGGAGGCTGGATTTCACACCACTTTGAGGGGCGGTCGGGTAGCCTAGCGGGTAAGCGTTCGATCGTCACGTCGAAGACCCGGGTTCGATTCCCGACATTTGTACAACGTGTGAAGCCCACTTCTGGTGTCCCCCGCCGTGATATTGCTGGAATATTGCTAAAAGAGGCGTAAAACCATATTCACTCACTGCACCACTTTGACGTTATTTCAGCCATATCAATGGACCAAGAATATATTCACACTTTGCACCCGTGAAGGGATTCGAACCTGGGCATGACAAGCAAACGTCTTTGCCACTAGCCTATCCTCCTCCTGGAGATCAGTTGTCGGACTTTCATTTTTGTGGAAGCCTCGGTGGCTGAGTAGATTAGGTAGCTGACTTTGTGTGCTGGCAATAAGGTGCCTCACTCTGGCAGTGTGGGTTCGAACCTCGGACTGGACTGAACCCAAATAAGTACGAGAATCTGTACTTTACTAAAGATGTGTTATCCCAAATATAACAATTGTTATTTTGACCACGTTCTAAATGACATTTTGTGTTCATTGTGTGTTCATAGCTTTCGGCCATGGGAGCCGTGCCAATTTTACACTTGTCAGAGGGGTATACAAAGTACGTGATCTAGACTACCACTTGTCGGACTTTCATTTTGTGGAAGCCTCGGTGGCTGATAGGGCGAGGTCGCTGACTTTGTGCGCTGGCGATTAGGTGCCTCACTCTTGTAGTGTAGGTTCGAATCCCGGACTGGACTCAACCCAAAAAAGTACGATAATCAGTACTTTACTAAGAATATAACATAACATAAATATAAAATATAACATTTGTTGCTAGAGATCAGTATAAATGGACAACCAGTGAGTTAGGAATAACTTACAATGCTACACTGTGTAATTGCATGGGAAATGCGTCATCTGTCATCCAGGTAGCCTGGAGGTTAAAGCGTTCGATCGTTTCGATTGCCAACATAGGTTATATATAGTGAAGCCCTTTTCTGGTTTCCGATGCCTTTTATATTGCTTGAATATTGCTAAAAGCGGCATAAAACCATACTCACTCATTCATTGTTTTAACCTACTTTGCATATGACTTAAGAACGGTCAGCTGTTCCTCCTTGACGACCTTTGGGTCCAGCCTCCCATCCTTCAGGTCCCGAGCCTGCTTCTTCATCAGGAAGCTGGAGAACTTGCTGAGGGCGTTGCCCAGGGGGTTCATGTCTCTCTGGGGGGACGGGGGACGCTGTCGCGGGGGCATGACGTATTTCTGATCTGACATGTCCAGCGGGTTGTCGCAGATGTTGTCATGCATCGACATGAACAGCGGGATGTAGCACATGTAGTCGAGGAAGGAGATCTGGAATGTTGCAAGGACACATATGGACAAACAGACCCCGACTTTGAGTTGGGGGCACAGGTGGCCCAGTCGTCTAAAGCGCCGCAAATTCACTGTGCAGAGTTGGGTCACTTGAGCATGCCAGAAATCTATGATCGTGGGTTAGAACCCTGTTCGCCCCGATTATGTTTCTAGGTTTATCAGCACCATACCCGTGTTCGCAAGGTTTCACCAAAGTGGTAAACGTATAAGACCTGCATCACTTTGGGCTTTCTTCTAATATCAAGCTCATACGCCGTGATATTCTTCAATACTGTTCAAAGCAGCGTTAAACCCTACTCCCACACACTAAACTGCGGCATGGTCTCTCTGTGGGGTGGGACTATACAACCGGCACAAATCTAGACTAGAACAAGACAGACAGACTCACACACACACAGACGTGCATCAACAATCTTAAACGCAACCTTAAACTCCATTTCACCTCACCCACCTCGTCCCATGGCCTTAAGAAACATAATTCCCGTGGTATGAGGTGCGCGTAGATGACGTTGCCGACACTCACCTCCCCCCACGAGTTCGGCTCCATCTTCTCCATGATGTACTCCTGCTGCTTCCAGTTGAGTCCTCCTGCGATCAGCTCGATCTTCAGCGACTCCGATGTGATGAAGTTCGTCTGTCTGTCAGAACCCACGTTGTGGTAGAACATCGCCTTGTACAAGTCCAACTTCCGCTCAATGTCAGCCAGGTTGCAGATCTCGAGATAATGCTTGCTGATGGAGCTGGGGAGAACAAGGTTTTCAAATTATTCCAGCAACGATGAGCAAGTTAATGTCGACCCGACTATAACTAACAGGATGTCCATTATGCATTGTTTTATATTTTGAGACAGAATATAGCTTAATTACAAACACCCGGGACACCACAAAAATGTATTTTATAAAACAGCCCCTTCATAAAAGGATGACCTGGGCATCGGCATCCTGCGTTTGTAATTTGCTGCACCATCGTATGTACACTACTCGGGAGTGTTGCTGCACAGCGTATGTACACTACTCGGGAGTGTTGCTGCACAGCGTATGCACTCTACTCAGAAGCGTTGCTGCACCAGCGTATGCATTCTACTCAAGAGTGTTGCTGCACCAGCGTATGCATTCTACTCAAGAGTGTTGCTGCACAGCGTATGCATTCTACTCAAGAGGGTTGCTGCACAGCATATGTACACTACTCAGGAGTGTTGCTGCACATAGATGTTCACTACTCGGGAGTGTTGCTGCACAGCGTATGCACTCTACTCAAGAGGGTTGCTGCACAGCGTATGTTCACTACTCAGAGGTGTTGCTGGACCAGCGTATACTCTCTACTCAGGAGAGTTGCTGCACCAGCGTATGCACTCTACTTAGGAGAGTTGCTGCACAGCGTATGCACTCTACTTAGGAGAGTTGCTGCACCAGCGTATGCCCTCTACTTAGGAGAGTTGCTGCACAGCGTATGCACTCTACTTAGGAGTGTTGTTGCACAGCGTATGCACTCGACCCAGGAGTGTTGTTGCACAGCGTATGCTCTCTACTCAGGAGAGTTGCTGCACCAGCGTATGCACTCTACTTAGGAGAGTTGCTGCACAGCGTATGCACCTTACTTAGGAGTGTTGTTGCACAGCGTATGCACTCTACTTAGGAGAGTTGCTGCACCAGCGTATGCACTTTACTTAGGAGAGTTGCTGCACAGCGTATGCACTCTACTTAGGAGTGTTGTTGCACAGCGTATGCACTCGACCCAGGAGTGTTGTTGCACAGCGTATGCACTCTACTCAGGAGAGTTGCTGCACCAGCGTATGCACTCTACTTAGGAGAGTTGCTGCACAGCGTATGCACCTTACTTAGGAGTGTTGTTGCACAGCGTATGCACTCTACCCAGGAGTGTTGTTGCACAGCGTATGCACTCTACCCAGGAGTATTGCGGCACCGGCGTATGCACTCTACTCAGGCGCGTTGCTGCACCAGCGTATGCACTCTACTTAGGAGAGTTGCTGCACAGCGTATGCACCTTACTTAGGAGTGTTGTTGCACAGCGTATGCACTCTACTTAGGAGAGTTGCTGCACCAGCGTATGCACTTTACTTAGGAGAGTTGCTGCACAGCGTATGCACTCTACTTAGGAGTGTTGTTGCACAGCGTATGCACTCGACCCAGGAGTGTTGTTGCACAGCGTATGCACTCTACTCAGGAGAGTTGCTGCACCAGCGTATGCACTCTACTTAGGAGAGTTGCTGCACAGCGTATGCACCTTACTTAGGAGTGTTGTTGCACAGCGTATGCACTCTACCCAGGAGTGTTGTTGCACAGCGTATGCACTCTACCCAGGAGTATTGCGGCACCGGCGTATGCACTCTACTCAGGCGCGTTGTTGCACAGCGTATGCACTCTACTTAGGAGAGTTGCTGCACAGCGTATGCACCTTACTTAGGAGTGTTGTTGCACAGCGTATGCACTCTACCCAGGAGTGTTGTTGCACAGCGTATGCACTCTACCCAGGAGTATTGCTGCACAGCGTATGCACTCTACTCAGGAGTGTTGCTGCACAGCGTATGTACTCTTCCCAGGAGTATTGCTGCACAGCGTATGCACTCTACTCAGGAGTGTTGCTGCACAGCGTATGTACTCTTCCCAGGAGTATTGCTGCACAGCGTATGCTCTCTACTCAGGAGCGTTGCCGCGTTAATACATCTCAGTGAGAAAAAGAAGCGAAAAGAGCTTTTCAGGTGAACTTGTCATTCTAAATGCACAATCGATATCGCTGCTGTGCTGAATGTGACAGATGTGGCGTATATGTGAGGTACTTACTCCATCTGTGTAACCCGCTCGCACAGAGCCGTGATCACAGCGAACATACGGAATGTCACCTGACTAGCATCATCTATGTCCAACACCTGAATAAAACAAAGAAATATATAGTTTTTTATTTCTGTGATGTCCTTGTTCTACAGTCTACGGACAACTGCGGAGCCTTTCGTGCAGAGGAGTGATAGACTGGAGGGGTGGGCGATCATGACACAGACAAACACGGTACTCAAACCTCAGATGGTGGTGTTCTTTCGACAGAAGCCCCCCCTCCCCTAACCCAGAGGAAATGATAAAAAGTGATCCCAGTGCCTGTTAATCGGAAGTCGATTTACATTTACACTTCAAGTAGGTTAACAGGGCAGGTCTGTTTTTTTACTAGTATCGACACAAGAGTGGCCAAACAATGACCCGTTGCAGGGCAGCCACTGTTGTACATAAAAGTTCAAGTTCTGACGCTGCGGTCACTTGAAACGGGGCCCACTTTTGAAAAAAACAACTTATTAAGGAAAACACTCATTTTCTTATATCACTTTGGATCCGATGTATTAATATGTAGCTTGGACTAAACTTTTAGGGTTGTTCTTAAAGTGTTAAAGACCCGGGTTCGATTCCCCACATGGGTCATTTCGGGTGTCCCCCTCGGTGATATTGCTGGAATATTGCTAAAAGCGGCGTAAAACCAACTCACTCACTCATACTCTGCATTTGGTTTTTGTTCAGCTGAAGTAAGCGAGTGAGCTTTGTTTAACGCCACTTGGAAAAATCTTCCGATTTTATCACGGCATTTCATCTTGGAGAAAAGTCCTTAATGACGTAGTTCATTGACATTTACTACTTTGGCAAAATCCACGAGGATGGGTATGGTTCTAACAACCAAAACACATAATCATGGAGAATCTGATGTTTGAGCCAACTCCATAGACTTGCACAAATTTCTAAGGCAATAATTTTTAGTTTAAATTATAAGTTTTAGATGAAGTACATAATAAGAACAAGTTGTCACTATAAGAGATTGGAGTCCTTAGAGTCCACACATCCAGATTTGCCCATTGGGAATAGGATAACTACACATCCATTGGACTTTTGTTTCAGTACAGCCTTCAAGCAAGGCTACCCACTTCACTTTTGTTCTAGAATTACAATCTGGACTTATTTAGCCTCATGATGACGTCATCTATACCACCGACCTTGAGAACATATTGTATCTGTTTGGAGGTCATGTGTTGGATGCTCGTCACGCCATCAAGTGCCGTTTGAGTCTCCAGGAAGTTGATAACAGTGTCAAGGTCACGGTCTTCCACCACAAATGCGCGCGCATATCCCTCCAGTTTTCCAGGATCAACCAGTCGGTAGTGAGACAAAAAATCAATGGACGAATCTACAGTTAAAAAAAAGAACAGTTTGAGATCGGTATGGCACCATTATTCCTTTTTGTATTATTACAAAACACTTTCTAAACGAAACATGACATGTTACAGATGCCGGACGTTTAAAGTCGGCTAGGGATTCATTGAATACATATGTCTTAGCTTTATTTTTAAAGAAGAACACCCCATGTAAATATCCGGCTTAGAATTCTTCAGCAGCCCAGCTTGTCGTAAGAAGCGATTGACGGGATCGGGTGGTCAGGCTCGCTGACTTGGCATACTGTCAATCACTGGATTGTCTAGTCCAGACTCGATAAATTAAAGACCGCCGGCATAGAGCTGTAATATTGCTGAGTGCGGTGTTAAACAACCAACACAATAATGAAATGAGGTAGGACATATAATTATTCAATTTAATATGATATTCACTGTTTTGAAGCACAGTAGAAGACTTGTTATAGTTTTGTGTGACTACACACGCAGGCACTGTGAAAGCGCCAACGGGGTTCTCTCAATGCACAATGAGAACTATATATGTACAGATGGCTTAATATGAAAAAAATAATACACGAATACACAAAAACTTCCAACTGTACTCACCGGTTTCATCCAAGTCTTTGGCGTACCCGACTTTGCCTTGCATGCGACACTGATTCATTACCCTGTGGAGGTGGTCGCGCAACTCGCTCCCTCCTCTTTGCATCAGCACGTTCACTCGCCGTGGACCCTTCACTGTAACAGACGTTCTGACGTTAAAGACAACAGTAACGGCACCCGGTGAATTATAGCAACGATCACGCGTCGTGGACGTCCAATATAACAGACGTTATGACGTTAAACACAACAGTAGCAGCATCACAGTGAATATAAGCAACATTCACGCGTCGTGGACCTCCAGTGTAACAGACATTATGACGTTAAACACAACGGTAGCAGCATCACAGTGAATATAAGCAACGTATACGCGTCTTGGACCTCCAGTGTAACAGACATTATGACGTTAAACACAACGGTAGCAGCATCACAGTGAATATAAGCAACGTTCACGCGTCGTGGACCTCCAGTGTAACATACGTTTTGACGTTTAACACAACAGTAGCAGCATTACAGTGAATATAAGCAACGTTGACGTCCAACATAACATACGTTATGACGTTTAACACAACAGTAGCAGCATCACAGTGAATATAAGCAACGTTCACGCGTCGTTGACGTCCAACATAACATACGTTATGACGTTAAACACTACAGTAGCAGCACCACAGCGACCACAAACAACGTCAACCCGCCGAGGCCCCCCAATCTAATAAACGTTATAACGTTAAACATTTCAGTAGAAGCAACAAGGGACATGACAATAAATTCAAGCATCGTCCTTCCGCCGCAGACCCCTCACTGGAACATACATTATAACGTTAAGCACGACAGCACCAACAACACGGGAGATCCGCTAAAGTGTATGACGAGTATATTGGCATTGATAAGTGGTTTGGAAAGTTAATTGTCACCTTTCACAGCGACAGGCCGCAGAAAGTCGATGCACGTTTAACGTCATTTAAAGCGGTAACGTCATATTAAGCGCTAACGTCATTTACACGACTCCAAGCAGAATAACGCGGACTTGTAAGACAACAAATTGTTCCCTTGTTACATTAGCATGTTCAAATAAATGTAACATGAACGATAATAAAACATATAGTCTAATCGTTGATGGGAGCTTTACGGCGTGATGAAATCGACGATACCTAATTGTCTATGATTATTACACACCATCAACTGTTTCTAATCCGAAACCACTATAATGTATTTTTAAGAGTGTTGAACCCAGTACTTTATCAAACGCTCCAACAAATACAAATGGGTTATTTGTAAAAAAGACTGATAAAGTCTGAAGTTTCGAAGTGTTACACACAGACCATAACCAGTATCACAAGAGGAAACCGCCAGTTTGCCAAATAATACAAATGGTTTTACTCGACCAAAGAAGTTCCATACATTTTTACACAAACTCTTAACCAGCCGTGCTTTTTCAAATGGAAATTACGAATTATTCTATCGTAAAACATTCGTAAATTGATTTCGACCAAGAGAGTCAATACCAGAAAAACATGCCTATCTTTTTGAGTAGATTAACAAATCTAATGACACATTTTTACCGGCTGCCTTGGCAGGTTTGAGATTCCATCAATACCAGCCAGCCTGTAACTAGGTTTAACGAAAGTCAATAACTGTCGTGTCAACCAAAATATGACATTTCCTTTCTGAACGTGTCATGCCAGGGACTCTAATCATGTTAATCATCAGCGGGGCCCTGTCCTGCCAAAGGTTAATCTTTCCATTGGTCGTATTCTAAACTGCGCGCAAATCTGACAAGATTAGGACCCAATATTGCATGATTACCGTTTCAAAGAAATATGGATGGCGTCCGATAAAGTGCACTAATTTCCCATAGTTAGCTTACGTTAGTTCTAAATTAGAAGGCAAACACGTAAAACGTTTTAGATTTGTTCTTTTAAGGGTGTTTGGATTACGGGGCTATTGCGGTTCGTTGCTTTCTAACGTTGTTCCAGTTGACGAGAATTATTGCGAATTAAATGTTGTACGGTTTGGGCTTAACTTTTTAGATTGGCGATTTATGGCTTGGCATCAGCTTACAGTAAGTATGGGGATTCACAGCGTTCAACGGGAGCCGTGTATAGTGCAAGGGATATTAAAGTGTTCGCGTGAATTTGTGTAGATTGTTAAGCATGTATCGGATTGCCACACTATAGATAAACTCTTGGCGAAACGATGTTGTATATATCCAACCCAAAGCGAATCTAACTCCGTTTTCAACGTTGATATAAGTGTGAACAGGGAAATCGAATATTATTCGAATTTTGAATGTCTTAATGAGTTTGATTTGTGAATGACGTTAACGTCACTTTAAACGACGTTTCGGTTAAGTCAAAGATTAACACGTTTGTCAAGATCAAGGTAACCCAAAGAACGGGTATAGTTCTGGCAGAGCCAAGCTAATGATAATGTGATTCCGGCTGGCAAGCAAGAGCATATCCTCATAAGGTTAAGAGAGGCATCTTTGTAGAGTATTGGAGTATTTGGATAAGATTAGAAAAGAAGGGTCCACGATTAAACATTACATTTACATTTTGCTCATCAGCATAAGGACCACGTATTTCTAGTCCTCGTTTTCAGTGTACCTTCATGTCAGGTCAGTGTGCGAGGGAAACGTGGTCTCCATCGTTGAACACCAAGTCATGGTTTTATTGTGTGATGTTTGTACCATTCTTAGATCAGAAAGTGAAACATAATGTGATTATTATTTGGAAATAAAGTCTAAAGAACATGAACAATGTGTCACTCTTGGCTTTGACATAACTCTTCTTTATATTTGGTGGTGAGGAATTGATCATATTAAATATATTACATTGGAGTCGTCGAGGTACATGTATAAACAGAAGTATGAACATTTTCCTTTGGACAGATTCACCCCTCTTTGGATGGGCTATTATGTATGTGATGCATGATTTACACGTGCGCTGTGATGGGTTAACAGCCTACATCCCTCCTTGAATGGACTATTCGGGATGTGACGCATGGTTTACGCGTGCACCATATGTCTAATTGACTGCCTACATCCCTCCTTGAATGGACTATTCGGGATGTGACGCATGGTTAATGCGTGCACCATATGTCTAATTGACTGCCTACATCCCTCTTTGAGTGGACTATTCGATATGTGACGCATGAACTACACGTACACTATATGCCCAGTTGACTGCCTACATCCCTCTTTCAATGGACTAGTCGGTATTTGGCGCATGATTTACACGCGCACTGTGTCTAGTTGGCTGCCTACATCCCTCTTTGAATGGACTAGTCGGTATGTGACGCATGATTTACACGTGCACTATGCCAAGTTGACTGCCAACACACCCTTTGAATGGACTAGTCGGTATGTGACGAGGTGGAGGTCGGTTTTCCGTTAATTCCACGCAACAAGAACCTCGCCGACAAGCAGCGATTGTAATCACAAGTCATTAGATATTCCTGATTGCTAGAATTGACTATTTGCTAGAAACACCAGACAGCTGACATGGAAGTGATTGAATATAGACGTGTAGTCATAAGCAGAGTGATGATATCGCATTAATGAACAATTCGATCCGGGATCTAAGCACGCTATATACGCTCTGTGAATTGGTTTCTCTACTGGAATTCAATGTGGAAACCATGTGATAAAGGAATTTGTCATTTTGATGAACTCGCTCGAGAATAGTTGTATGCCCAGCGTTAGCAGATGGAATTGTTTGAACAAGAAATCTTGATTGGGTTGATTGAAGTGAACATTTTACTCCTAATTGTATTCTGATCATTTATTGCTTTCTTCAAGTAATTGATTAAATGTCGAAATTGAATTTAGCCACGTTAAGATCTTTAAGATATAAGTAATTGATCATCGCAAATAATTCACAGTTTCATCCAATAATCTGTTCAAGTCCCAATAAAAACATAAACTTGTTCCTTGTTTCTCAACACTGACCGACCCACGAAATTAGCCCGTAAGTTTAAGTTTTTAAAAATGTTCTTTGCGTGTCAATTTCGGTTCTGCATTGCTGCAGATATTTTCCATTCCAAAGTTGCTTTTTTAAGCAACCCCACATGATGTTTTTCAAAGTAAAATGGTACCGAATGATAAAGACCCCAGTGATATGCTTTAAAAATCGACTTTGATAAGATAACGTCTTTCCTACTTCTATACCTATGAACGTTCTGGGGCGGTGGGGTAGCCGAGTGGGTAAAGCGTTCGCTTGTCATGCCGAATGTCCGGGTTCGATTTCACACATCGGTACAATGTGTGAAGCCTGTTTCAGGTGTTCCAAGTCGTGATATTGCTGGAATATGGATACAAGCGGCATAAAAAAATACCCACTCCCTTCCTGTATGCCAGTCTGAACTATTAACTACACAGTAGTGATTTTGAACCACGATAAGACGGCTAAAGTAACCCGTGTACAGCGTTCAACAGAAAGTCTTGACCCCCTTGCTCACGCTGTGTTTAATTCAATGCATGTTTAGTGGAACGCGTTAAACTTAAAGGGAAACAACACTCCAAGTATTGAGATATGGATCGTCTTTTTCTTCCCGGATTTAAAGTCCGCTTATTATGGATTATAATTTCGACTGGTTTGACATTAGTTCGGTGATATTCTCGCTGCGCTGCGCGACGCGGCTCCTATCGTTAGATGGAAGACTCTGGCACGACAATAACAGGAATCTGTAGAGAAATCATAAATTGAAATAAATTTGATATTAATTCCTACAGATTATAAAATTCGCTACATATGTGACCAACGATATACATGTAGGTAAGGCATACACATACAGGTTATATAGTTATGTATTTCAGCTTAACACGTTCAACACATAACCCGTTGAGATTTGAGGTAGAACACGTTCTAGCATGAGTGAGTGAGTCAGTTGGGTTAGACGCCGCTTTTAACAGTATTCCAGTTATATCACGGCGTGTCAGCTTACTGTGGGGGGGGGGGGGGGGGGGGGGGGGGGGGGGGGGGGGGAAGCCCGAAGTGATGCATGTCTCACGAATTGCGGCGTCTCACGTCAACGATAATCTGAGAGGGGCACTACAATAATATGAATCTGTGGAGAAATTCATAAAAAAATGAAGTGAAATTCATAAAAAATATTACGATTTAACACGTATAATGAAT